CTAGGTCCACCGCAGGCAAGAGTCCTCCGGGGCAGGTGAAATACACTTTTGCCGCGGGTGAGAGAGTCTTCCGGAATTGGTGAATTCGGTCAACTTGCTCTTCACGTATCTTTTAATTGCACTGTTGGATTGTCCTAATGTAAAGTGATATGGAAAGCTTGTTGTCTCCTCTAGAATGTCTCTAAATTTGAGTTGGATCAGACGGCGAGAAGGTCTTCATTTGAGGCTGAACTTCTGACGGTCTGACTCTGAGTTGAAAATGTGGATTACTTCCATTTTGCCATGTTTTTCTCTAGGTTTCCTGAAAAGAGCCTTGAAACTATAAACATAGAAAAACTATAATAAAAGTTCTTAAAACTAATTAAAACCTTTGAAAAAACATTTGAAATCAATGGTAAAAATGGGTACAAATACGGTGTTAATAATTGGGTTTGGCTTTGTGTTTCCACTGCATCGTTCTCAGTCCAAGTAAATGGTGAGCTTGCAGTGTATTTTGGAAGTTCTAGAGATTTTCGGCAGGGTTTTTCGTTGATCGCCGTATTTATTCGTCATTTCTATGAATGTCCTCTCCAAAATGCTTGAACAAGCTGCGGTTCAGCGAGGATTTGGTTTTCATCCTAAGTGCTCGAACATACAGCTGACTCATCTTTGCTTCGCAGATGATGTTATGATTTTTTCTGATGGAAAACTTAGCTCCTTGGAGGGAATTATCGGGGTTTTTGATGATTTCTCGAGAATTTCAGGATTGAGAATAAGCTTGGAGAAATCAACAGTTTATTTGGCAGGAGTTTCGTATACGATCAGGGCTAACATAGCACAACGGTTTCCCTTTTTGTTTGGGACTCTTCCGATGTGGTATCTTGGCCTACCATTATTGTTGAAAAAGATGAGATCCCTGGATTATGCACCATTAATTGATAAAATAAAGGGAAGGATTAACTCTTGGACAGCCCGGACTCTTACATTTGCAGGGAGGCTGCAACTTCTCTCATCGGTGATTGCAGGTCTCACCAATTTTTGGATGTCAGCATTTCGGCTACCAAATAGATATCTTGATGAAATCAAAAGTATATGTTCTGCTTTCCTCTGGTCTGGGCTGGTTTTTAATCCGAGGAAAGCAAAAGTTGCTTGGAAGGATGTTTGTAAATCTAAGACAGAAGGAGGTCTTGGATAGAAAACCTCCGGGAAGCTAATGATGTTAGCGTCTTAAAGCTCTTACGGAGGCTCGTAACAGCTGATGGTTCACTTTGGGTCAGATAGGCTCGACAAAACCTCATGTAGAGACTCATCTTTATGGTTACTTCTGGAGGTTTTTTCTTTGGGTTCATGGATATGGAAGCAGATAATGAAAAGTCACCAACTAGCTGCAGAATTTTTCAAAGTAGAGATTGGGAATGGGAGGAAAGCCTCGTTTTGGTGACTAGTGGTCTTCAATGGGTACTCTCTTGCCACTTACCGGAGTTAGATGCTTTATTGACCTTGGGATACGGAGGGAGGCAACAGTTGAGGAGGTAGTTCACATGAATAGAAGAAGAAGGCATCAAAGCCCAATTCTGAACAGGGTGGAGGAGGAAATAGAGGCACTAAGTACCAGATATAGGGAACACAAGGGAGATGTTTTTTATGGCGGGTAAAAGAGAGCTCATATAGGAATATTTTTTGCACAAAAACTACCAGAGATTAAATTCGGTCATCTGCTCCAAAGGTTCCTTGGTCGCAAGGGGTCTGGTTCTCGCATTGTTGTCCCAAATTTGGATTCATGGCTTGGTTAGCTTTGCATAATCGGCTGTCTACTAGAGATCGAGTGCAGGCATAGAACTTGAACATCAATGGCACATGTTTTCTCTGTCTTCACACACTTGAAACTCGAAGCCATCTCACTTTCTCTTGTCCTTACTCTGTGCAGGTGTGGACTAGACTTAGCTAAAAGGATTATTGATCGTGACTTCTCAACAGAGTGGACGGAGATTAACGTCTTATCTCCCATCCTCATAAGGGCAGACTGAAGGCTTTCCTTATTCGGTATCTTTTTCAAATGGTCATCTACACACTGTGGAGAGAAAGAAATGATAGAAGGCATGAGGCTTACCTTCACCAGTCTCCAAGCTGATTAAAATTATTGACAAGGATGTACGAAATCGATTCAGTGCCATAAGGATTTGAGGTGATCATCGATCTGAAGAAAGATTACAGCTCTGGTTTTCTTCAAGACCAGTGAGTTGAGTGTACAACTTCACATGTTCGATTGTTTCTGTTTCAAAATTTTTTCTAATACTTAAGCTCGCATTTTGTATATAGAAAACGTTGTTTTTTTTTTCTAGGTTTGAATAAATTTAACATTCATCCAACAAAACATAATAATTAAAAGTTTTTTGTCAATATCTTCACAATGCAAGCATGTACTTTTTCTATAGTATTCTTTCATATTGATAATCACCTCCGCAATTATATAATGCAAATGCTTAATTTCTTCTATCCAAATATCTATTACAAAACCTGATACATTATTCAAAACCTAATTCGGACTATTCAGAAGAGTTGAGGCGGGAATAGACCGTTGCCTATGAGCTCGTGTTTTTTCTTCATCCACAACTGTTTCGACAATAATATGTTGTTGTCAAGAACCAATCAGCTTTTGTTAAGGAAAGGTTGTTAATGGAGAATGTGCTTTTAGCTTCGGAGCTGGTTAAAAACTATCACAAGCCATCCATTTCAGCCAGGTGTGCAATCAAAATTGATATATCTAAGGCTTTTGACACAGTTCGATGGTCTTTCTTGCTTGCTACGCTTTCAGCTTTGAATATACCTCAGAAATTCATCTACTGGATCAAACTCTGTGTCACATCTGCTTCTTTCTCTGTCCAAGTCAATGGAGAATTGGCTGGATACTTTCAGAGTAAAAGGGGACTTCGCCAAGGTTGCTCTTTATCGCCTTACCTCGTTGTGATCTGTATGAACATTCTCTCTAAACTGTTGGATCAAGCAGCTATATCGCAACGATTTGGATACCATCCTCTCTGCCATAATCTGAAACTTACGCACCTGTGCTTCGCTGACGACATGCTTGTGTTTTCTGATGGCACAAAGAGCTCTGTCGAGGGAATACTCAATTTCTTTCGAGATTTTGCAACATGCTCGGGTCTGAACATTAGCCTCGAAAAATCCACATTATATATGGCAGGGGTCTCGGGTACCACTCTGGATGCTATCTTGGACCAATTCCCTTTCGAATCCGGCTCCCTGCCCGTGAGATACTTGGGTTTACCACTTCTTACAAAGCAGATGAGAGCTCAGGATTATAGCCCTCTTTTGGAGAGAATCAGACAACGAATCAGCACCTGGACTGCTCGATACCTGTCTTTCTCGGGTCGCCTACAGCTTATCAACTCAGTCATCCATAGCCTGACAAACTTTTGGATATCTGCGTACCGCTTGCCAAAATCCTGTATCTCCGAGATTGATAAGCTATGTTCTGCGTTTCTTTGGTCGGGTCCGGACTTAAACCCAAGGAAAGCAAAAATAGCGTAGAAGGATGTCTGTAAACCGAAGAATGAAGGCGGGTTGGGGCTCAGATCAGTCGCTGATGCCAATAAAGTGAATTGCCTTAAGATGATATGGAGAATTCTTGCATCGAATTCCTCATTGTGGGTTGATTGGATAAGAAAGCACCTAATCCGAAAAGGCTCTTTTTGGAATGCAAATGATTCGTCAACGCTTGGCTCCTGGATGTGGAAGAAGCTTCTCAAATACAGAGAGCTTGCCAAAAGCTTTGTTCGCGTTGATATTCAAATGGGTGACCACACCTCGTTCTGGTATGACTCTTGGAGTCCTTTGGGAAGATTGATTGATCTTACTGGACAACGAGGTTGTATCGATTTGGGTATTCCTAGCCATTACACGGTAGCAATGGCTATGCATACTCATCGTCGTCGACGGCATAGAGTTGATGTCCTCAACTCCATTGAAGAGGTTATCTCTCTGCATCAGCAAAGGCGTATTACGAGTGGTGACGATATGTATTTGTGGAGACGTCGAAATGACCGATATAGTCCAATTTTCAGCTCCAAGGAAACACTTTCTTTGATCAGGGTGTCTCACCCTCTATGCGATTGGTCAAAGGGTATCTGGTTTCGTCACTCAACTCCAAAATTCTCCTTCATCAGCTGGCTCGCGATCCATAATCGGCTTGCCACTGGGGATCGCATCGCGTATTGGAACACTGGTGCTGACACTTCGTGTGTTTTCTGCAGAGCACCGGTGGAAACTCGTAACCACCTTTTCTTTGAATGTATTTTCACGGCGAAGATCTGGAGCAGCCTCACAAGGAAGCTTCTATCGCCGTTTTACACAAACCATTGGGACGGGATCCTTTAGACGATCCAAAATCAACAGCGGGATTATATTCTACAGTGGCTAAGTCGATACACTTTTCAAACGACGCTCTATACAGTTTGGAGGGAGCGAAACAACAGAAAGCACGGAGAACAACCCAAATCAGACATGCAGCTGATTCAAAGCGTCGACAAGCAGATAAGGAACCGCCTCTCGTCCATTAGAGCAATGGGAGATGCTCGACTGGAAGGAGGAATAGAGAAGTGGTTTTACACCAAATGAATATTGCTTCGGTCTTCTAAAACTTCTTAATCTCATATAGTTCCTTGCTGCACTAGTTGATAACTAGTTGAAAAAATGATGTTTTTTTTTATCTGAATAAATTTAACATTCTATTCAAAAAAAATATATGTTGTTAACAATTTTGTCTCGCTCGGCCTACGAAGTCATGAATTTTGTGTTAGTGAGGGGCAAAAATGTATTTAACAAACAAAGGAGGTACATACACGAGTAGAAAAAAATTAAAATAAAATAAGAATTATCCTTTTCCCCCATTTCTCAAAAGATACAAGCTGACATAAGCTGAAATGTTTTAATTTTCTTAAAAAAAAAACTGTTTATAATATTCGAAACTGAAAGTAAGCCGAGCTTTAAAATCGTTTTTTATTAAGCCATCTGTCTCCTAATTTCTCATTATAATATTTTCCGAAGAGTAAAGGAGAAAAACCCTATATTGAAGAAAGGCGATACAAAAAATAATATAACAAACTTCAGATCTTAAAGCTCTCATCCCCAAATCAAAGAGTTTCCGCAAATCTCAGTCTTTGTTCGCAATTGCTTCAGATTCTACAGAGAAAACTATCTAGAAGGTGTGATCTTTGCTCTTAAATTTCCCAACATTTTCTGGGTTTTTGTTTTGTTCAAAATTTGTTTAGTAAATAAAAATCAGCATGAATCGCAGCTTTTTTGTTCTCCCATTTTACATGATAGGTATTATCTTGTTTAATGAAATAGGCTGCTTTGTAAGTTCACTTTCCATTAGTATCTGTAGATTGATGTTGGGTTTAGATTTAATTAAAAAAAAAAAGCAATCAGAACGCAATTTTATTTTTTAGTTTTTATTCTGGTAAAGAATGAACGCCAAATCATCTAAGATTAAAGACACTAATTAATGATTATTTATCTTGGCTTATGGAGAAGTTAGCGAAGTTGTTGCTCTGTTTATTTTGTTGGAAATTGGTTTATTTAATTTTTCCCTGTTAATTTTTTTGCTTTTTAATTCTGGTAAGATTTCTAGTTTTTAATAAGCCTGAACATATTCAATTAGAGTGAGTAATTTCGATGTTAGGATTTAAACTGTAAAGAAAAAATTTTCTCTATTTTATTTATTTTAATTATAATTTTTTGGTAGAGAATGGATCAACAAGGACAATCTTCAGCTATGAACTATGGCTCAAACCCATACCAAACCAACCCAATGACCACTGCACCAGCCGGTCCAGACCATGCAGCATACCATCAGATCCACCAGCAACAACAGCAACAGTTAACTCAACAGCTTCAGTCTTTCTGGGAAACCCAATTCAAAGAGATTGAGAAAACGACTGATTTCAAGAACCATAGCCTTCCACTGGCTAGAATCAAGAAAATAATGAAAGCCGATGAAGACGTGCGGATGATCTCAGCCGAGGCACCTGTCGTGTTCGCGAGGGCCTGTGAGATGTTCATTCTGGAGCTTACACTAAGGTCGTGGAACCACACCGAGGAGAACAAGAGACGTACGCTTCAAAAGAACGATATCGCAGCTGCAGTGACCAGAACCGATATCTTTGATTTCCTTGTGGATATTGTTCCTCGGGAGGATCTCCGTGATGAAGTGTTGGGTGCAGTTGGTGCTGATGCCGCCACAGCAGCTGGTTACCCGTATGGATACTTACCTCCCGGAGCAGCTCCACTTGGAAACCCGGGAATGGTTATGGGTAACCCGGGCGCATATCCGCCTAACCCGTATATGGGTCAACCATTGTGGCAACAACAAGGAGCTGACCATCAGGATCCTGATAATTAACCTCGCCTCATAAACTGTTAGTTTTTAGCTTCCTCTATGTTTTATCCTTTTTAACGTTTCATTAACAAGACTTGATTTTACTCTTGTTGTTTGTTTTCTGCAGAGCCTTCCGATTCGAAGACCTCTTCCAAGTGGATCTAAACAAGAAGAATAATGTTAATAGAAAATGTCAGTCATGAGTTTGTTGTAGACTTTTAGTTGAAGAATTTATGTTTTATGTCAGATGTCATTTTGGTTTATGTCATTTTGGATATCATTATTCGGTCTGGTCTATCGAGTTAGACGTTACATAAACTAAAACACCGAGAACTGAACATACACAAGCAACCAGTCCATAACTAAGTCAGCCAAAACCAAAAAAAAAAAAACTGATGATTCCTAGAACTACATTAGATTAAGCAGTTCTGTTTCTTCAACTTTTTCATTACGACCCCTTCAAGAATCCCATCTGTTCCAAATCTGCCGGAAAACTCATGCGGATGGACAGGACCAGGGAGGTGGAACGAGACAGAGAAGTGACCTGGTGGGCAAAGATTCTGCGTCTGCATCTCAAACACTCGAGTATAACGATGAACTTCTTTCTCACCTGTTGTAGTGATTCCTCTAACTAGTACCCTCCCATTTTCTTCTACTTGACAGCTAAAATCTCCTGCAAATAAACACACAATCACAAGGTCAAAAGACCGGTATAGTAGACTACAAACGTAGTCGAAAGTCACTCACTTTCATCTCTTCTCACACCGGGAAGCGATACACGAAAGAGATAAGCGTCAGAGCATTCACCGATATCCATCAGTCCCATCACCTGTCCAGCTTGAGCTCCAGCTATTGCCCCATCTACAACCAAATCGGGATTTGCAGCAACATCACATTCTTCATCACTAGTGCAAGTACCGGCATTGTCGTCAACAGAAACTTCCAAGCCAGAGTCTTCTTTGGACGGTTCCATGCTCTCATCAATCTTATCCTCAACCTCATTGCCTGCAACAGGTTCGACTACAAGGCTCAAAGTAAAGCTCTGCATTCCCGTAAGCCGCTTAAACCGCTCAACACAATCTTCTCTCATACAAGAAGTATCTGGATCATTGATAAACACAATGCTCTCGAAAAGCTTATACTGATTCCCGAGGCGGCTTTCACGGTGCAGTTTTTGCGGATACAGATCTCTGAACAGGGGAAAATCCTCGTCGGAATTACTGCGTTTTCCGTTAAAATATTGAAGTAAAATCTTCCGCTTTACGATTAAAGATGGATCTGCATTGTTGAGAATGTAGTGATACACACGTTCTAGCTCAGCTCGTTTCATGAATGAGCCAGTTAGCTCATCTTTTGTTGGAAGATTCGAAGCTTTTATCTGAAATCCTGATTTCTTCCGATGGTTTCTTAAATCTGGTCCGAAGTAAGTTCCTATGATGAAGTGTAAGAGAAATAACTTGTCGTCTTCAATGTCTAGTGAAATTAACACACTTTCTTGTTCAGACTTTTCTGCTGCTAGAGCGAAAACGATTTCACGCATTGTTTCACTCATATCTAAAAAAACCACAAAAATCAAAGATTGAATCTTTATTTGTTCATCATCTAAAAGATCGAAGCTTTCGCAACAATCTTGAATAGCAAAAACTGAAAATCACAAGCATGCAGCAAGAAATTATACTTTTAGGTTATAAATTGGACATTGATTTCAATCCGTATCAAAATGGGAGAAGAATGATGGGAAACCGATGAGATTGCTAAGAGATTTGAGGAAATTAAAACTATGAAAACTCAATCTGTCGATAGATAATGCATATAAGCGATAATGGGATCGAAGGTAACTAACCGAAGTATAATTTAGGGTTCTACAAGTGAAATTAGTCCATCAAGCGAATTTTTTTTTCTCGCACTTTTTTTTGTTTGCTCTCTCTCATCAGACGAACAGAGAAAGTGACTGAAAAGCTCAAGACATTGAGGTAAAAGGGCATATTAGGAATTAAGTAGGCATCTACATTTCAGGCTGAGCTAGTAGTAATTGGAAAAACATTAGAAATCCAAACACTAATAAACTTGTAATTGTTGTGTATGTAGTCTTTGAATAATTGTTTAATTTGTTTTATCAAAAAAGATATATATTCCAGACTATTACAAATGAATCTATCATTAAAAGATTTTAGGATATAAAAGATACTAGAGTAATAATATTGGATAAAATGATTTTACAAGAGTTTTTATATTTTAATAAAAAAAATTATTATTAATATTATAATTATATTCTTACACAGTTTAAAAAAATTCATGGATCCGCTACTGTAAATATTGTAAGTGGATTCGACAAGTTTTTACATATAATGTGGGGCAATATTTTTAGAAAAAATGCATATTTAAGAAAAAAATATTTTTCGTGAATTTTATAATAATCTAAATAATAATTATAAATAAAATTATAAAATCAAACTAACATATTTACTTATCCTATTTTGTAGTTAACTAAAATACAAAAGTTATAATAAATAACTACGTATATATAAACATCATATGACCAACATTTATGTATATTCAAATAGATATTTGAGTTAGTTTTGTCGTACATTTTAATATATAGGTAATTTTTAAATATATGTGATGTTAATATATACAAACCAACATAGAATGTAAATATGTATATCTGTATGATAAAAATCTGATTGTGTATATTTTTATTGAGAACCGGTAATCATTTTTGGTTAATGAATTTTATATTATATATCTTACCAATAATTATATATTAGCGCAGACCACGCTGTCAGAGACGAGGAGGGCGGAAGCTGAGTCAGGAGGAGGAGAGGTCACATTCTCTATGTCGTAGGCCTAAATTCGGTAATCCGGAAGGATCGAGATATAAGAAAGTATGACTCGCACAGGTATCCGGAGAGCAAAGTCATCCATCGAGAGCCTGATCCCAGTATCGAGGGATCCGAGCTATGTATGAATAATTCCATAAGCGGGAAACACTTTTCAAATTCCCTCCATTCGATAATAGGAATATGCCTTACAAACTCACAAGATTGACATTTAATTCAGCATTCTTACATGTGTCATGCGACAGTAACCTTTCGCAGAAGCCAGATGAAAAGCAGAGGTTCAGCAAGAGCCAGTCCGCGTCTGAACCGCCGCCCCAATCCGTACACTGAAGACAAAAGGGACACGCCAAGGAGCGATCTCACAGCAGGTAGAACACGCCAAGGAAAGTTGATGAGACCATCAAAGATGTGACGTGCACACAAGATTCGAACCTGATCAAATCAGATCGAGGATCGACTCACCCGACTCGCTATCCAAGGACTGACCTGGTATACTAACCCGAGTTAGGTAAAATTATATAAATATTTTGTCCCTTCCAACGAGGAGGGGGGTCACTCTTTTCACTATCTTAAGGTTCATATGATCTCTCTAGATTGTGATCCTTGGGCCCTAGCATCTTATATTTTCTGGTCACTACTCCGACCGACTCTCCAATTCTACTCCACGGCGGTTCCTAAACTGTGGAGTATTTCCAGCCACAGACTATTTCAGTTCTTCTCTTTTGACCTAAAAAAGCCCATCACCACTTAAATGCCCGAGTTGATTCTACCTTTCTAAGAGACGATCGACCCACTTTCCTTCTCTTGTTTTTCAAACTCTTTCCTCTCTCCGATTAGCCACTTCGTGGTCTTTTTTCACTTTTTTCTGATTTGAGCGTCGGAGAGGCTTCTGAAAACACACCTACATCATGTTTTCTGGGCCTTCACGTGCTTTCTGGTTTTACAGGAGACTTTCTCCCGCAGAGGACTAAAAATACCCTAAACAATATATAAGATTGTCAAAGTGGACCAATCCGTAAAAACTATAATTTTAAATATTGAAAACACATTCAAATTAATTATAAAAAGAAGTGAATTAACTTTTTAATATGATACAAATTAATTATGAAAATACAAATAAAAAAATGTTACAAAATTTTAACAGATTTTTTTCTTTGAATATATAGATATATTATTATTTTAAAAAACATAATATATTTTATATCTTAAGAAGACTAATAAATAAAGAAATTAAATGCATTTTTAATTTATATCCATATTTTCAATACTTTTAGAAAACATTTCTATCCTTTTATATTTCATTTATTTATTCTTATTGATAATATTATTTCTTGTAATATTTTACAAAACAATCTTCATTTATAAAAAAGACTCTTTAAATAATAGTATAGAGATGTTTTATTTACAACATTAAATTTACTATCACCTCTTGACTAACGTTTCTGTTGTCTCGTTAAAAATATTTTTTTAAAAAAATTAGAGAGAAAAAATATAAGAAAGTAAAAAAATACAATTATGGAATCTCTTCTTCAATTAACTACATGTCGTCTTATAAGTTTTGTTCATAATGGATTCCAATGTTCTGGACATTTGAGAACTAACACAAAGTTTTTGTGAAAAGATCTACTGTATTTTCACACGATTGAATATATATCTCACTTCAGCGTTTTTATTCTTTTCGAGTTTTTTTAAGTGTATGAGAAAAACTTTAGAAGGATATGTTTGGTTATATAGTTTTTGATATATCCTTTTTTGTTTATACAACACATACATGTTATCTTCAGAAAAGATAATTAGTTACGTATTTATGAAAATTTACTAATTGATTGTATACTGAATTATCGATCTCAACCACACACATTCTCTACTAAACTCGTTTAGTACGATAATTTTAACATGATTCAAAGAAGTGGCCACAAGATATCAACCACACACATCCTGTTAAAGGCTACAGGTTTTGGTTGGGTGTTTAGAAAAGATGCAGAACCTATTCCACAAGTTTGTGCATGTATCCTCTCCCCTCTATTCTATTACAATATGAGGAACTCAAATGCCTTGGTGGATTCTCTTGCAAATATTCATTAAGAAATTTCAACAATGGGGTTTTTTTTACTACAAAGCAAGGAAAAAAGGTTTAAAAATTATGTTTTGATACGATTTCCCTAGGATTGCACTTGCTTGTTTGGTAGAGGTTGATAAACTCGGCCAAAGTCGGTTTGATCGGAGAGATGCTAAGGGGTGAGAGGTTGTCTCGAAGGTCCTTAGGCCCAGCTCGCGAGAAACAGATATGGAACGAGGGTATGGAAAACACCAAGTGTTGATCTCGCGGGTAAAGGATGAACAGGCGTGAGACTTGATCTCGAAAATCCTGTTGCCCCTAAACTACTTTGAACGAAATCGAAATAAGATGTAAATGAAGGCTGCGTCGAATCCTATGGATTGAATTCTATAAACCAAACAAAACTTTCAAGGCTAACCACCTAAGAAAGAAGAACTCAGAAAGAACAAGAGAAAATCTCAAAATATATTGATGAAAAGTGAATGCCAAATACAAAGGAGTCTGGCTCTTTATATAGAGTCGTAAAAGAAGTGCAAAAGACAAGAAAATTAAATGAAAGCATTAAATAAGTTGAATGACCACTCGGCTCCCTTTGAATGTCCCTTCGGCTCCTTTCGTGAGTGATCGTTTGGCTTCTCATAACGGCTAATGACTAACTTCGGATAAGAATGATGTGGCCCCTTAACCTCATTAAAACTCCATCCGGTAAACCCAGTGGGACAAATCCGGATGCAAGGAAAAAGAGTATTAAGGAGCTACACCGTCCGAGTAGGTCAAGAGCGTTACAGCTTGGTCTGTTGGTGTAGCATCCGCTTTCTTGGCCATCAGCTCGGTGCATAACCTCCAAACGGCCATAGATAACTTCTTGGCCCGTGACCGCGTCATTGGACCAGTTAGCACGGATAAGACTTCATCCAGGTCGGCCACCTCGTCTTGCTTTCCGTCCTGAACCTCGACTCCGCTTATGTCGGCCACTTGGTCTTGATTCCCGACCTGAACTAGCTCTCCGGTCTGACCCTCAGTTCGCACCTCGTCTCTACTTGGGTCCGTGCTCGTATCATTCCCCCCTTCTTGAAAAGGACTTGTCCTCAAGTCTGGTTCATCTGGAAGAAAGGGAACTAAGTCAGAAATATTTAAACTCGAGCTGACCGTGTACTTACCTCGGAGATTGATCTGGTAGGCATGATCATTGATGTGGTTCAAAACCGTGAATGGTCCATCAACTCGGGGCAAGAGCTTGGACTTTCGTTCCTCAGGAAAACGTTTGTTCCTTAGATAAATCCATACTTGGTCACCTTGCTCGAACGTTCGTTTGCTTCTTCCTTTGTTTGCTTTTCTTTGAAATTGCTCGGTTTTCTTTTGAATGTTTTCCTTGGCCTTCTCGTGCATCTGTATGACCAATTCGGCCTTTTTCTTGCCATCTATGTTAAGTCTTTCACTCATAGGCAAAGGGGTTAGATCAAGCGGAGTAAGCGGATTAAACCCATACACAATTTGAAAAGGGGAAAACATAGTAGTTGAATGAACCGAATGATTATAAGCAAATTCAACGTGTGGCAAGCAATCTTCCCAAGTTTCTAAGATTCTTTTTAATCACAGATCGCAACAAAGCTGATAAAGTCCGATTAACTACTTCAGTTTGTCCATCAGTTTGAGGGTGACAAGTAGTTGAGAAACACAGTTTAGTTCCAAGTTTCGACCAAAGGGTTTTCCAAAAATAGCTAAGGAACTTAGTGTCCCGATCTGAAAAAATGGTTCTAGGAACCCCATGCAATCGGACAATCTCCCTAAAGAACAGGTTGGCCACATTTGAAGTATCATCGGTCTTATGACATAGAATGAAATGAGCCATTTTAGAAAACCTATCTACGACCACAAAGACCGAATCTCTACCTCTCCTAGTTCGTGGCAACCCTAATACAAAGTCCATGGAAATATCGGTCCAGGGCTCACTAGGAATGGGAAGTGGGGTATACATACCTGGGCCTTGACTTCGGATTTTGGCCAACTTACAGACTGTGCATCGGCCACAAATCCGTTCCACGTCGCGTTTTAGGTGCGGCCAGAAGAA